ATGAGGTGAAAAAAGCTCCTGCGGTGGATTCAAAGCTTTGAGCAATTAAAGTGTCCACATTTCTGATCTTGTACCATCTCTTTCTGTCTTTAAACATGTGTTTTAACAACACCAGAGTCTACAAATCCTCAAGCTTCAGTACTTTGCCATTTTGTGCTTACAATTACACCTTAGAGATTGCATCCTTTTTATGCTTTGAAAAACATTTTTCCTTCATATTCTGGATCTTCACTTCTAAAATTACACATACATTTTCTCCGCATTTTAAAGGAAAGCCGAATAAGGTTCAGTTAATGCCTCTTATCACTGTTAACAAGCTCTCTTTTTCTTAGTATAAATAATGTCACATGTCTTCCAGTAATTAGGATATAATGCTTGTCCCAGATGCTGCTGGGTTGTGGGATCCTGTGGTTAGACCCAGATGCAGTTTTACCATGGTGCCTGCCTGACAATCTTTAACCATCTTAGAATCTTGTGGCTGGACAGTGGGATTCTGTTCATTGCTGAGCTGTCTGTTGTGTGACGGTGTAATGGTGTTACTCTACAATGCTTGGGAGATTAACCAGCCACTATCAAGAGGTAATCAAGACACCACTGAGTAGATCTTTACAGACCTTTGAAGAGATGGTGTCAGAGGACAGCAGAGCCACTACCAAGAAGGAACATGGATTCACACTTTGTTTTTCTCCATTCTTTGGGATGTAGTGCCAGGCTAATAGCTTAATAATTTCCATGGTGGAAGAATGTAGTGTAAATTAATGGATCCATTGGAGTCTCAAGAAATTTATATAGCAGCTGTAGAAGTTGTAATGACCTGAAAAGGGGCCGGGGGTATTCTTAATTGCAAGGACTGGTCAAACTGCCAACCCAGTTTCCACAGTTGCACCTGTTAGTGGTAGTATCAAGAGACCTGGCAAGACATCATGAAACTTCCCTAATCCAATGCTGGGAACTGAAATGCTTGAAATGTCCTGGGATAATTAGGAAGAAATGATAGCATGTTTAATGTTTTTAATCCCTGGATAACTAGCTTCATCAGACTGATGCTTCTAAATACCTAGCAAATTTGTACTGGGATTCTTCCCAGTTATGTTGTCTTGGGGCAATACAAATGTTTATGCATTATCTGATCTTAGGGCAATAGTGGCAAAAACTATTTGACAAGCAAATGTTCAGGGTTACAACCCTCTAGTTTATTTTTCTGCAGATGCTCAAGGACATATATCACTAGATCACTGGAGTTGATCAGTGAGGTGATCTAGTAGATTGCCATTATATTACGGAGTTAATCTTATCAATTACAAGTAATTTGATACAGTGAGAGGTTATTTGAAATTAGGTCTGCATTCAAATTTCAGCTCACCAGGAACTCCTTGCATGGCATTTGCAAATAATAATTTCTTAGCTTCTTTTTCTCTTTGGAGAGAGAGATTTCTGTTATTATGAATGGTGCAAGAAGTATGAAGAATTTTGCATGCTAGAAATCCAGTTCACATGGTTAGGCTACAACTCTAATGTAAGTTTCCTCTAGCCAAACTCCATTTTGTTTCAAAATATTGCTGGAAGAGATTATTTAGAGTGATTTTTAAAAATTGCTTAATATGGGTCTTGCTAAACCTCCAAAATCAGCAAAGAGAAAGTATCTGGGAAAAATGTTCCTGGATCAGTAGCTAAGTCTACAAGTGATCAATCTTTGAGCATGCCAAATGTAAACAGCACACTAGTGTGAGTGGTACTGAATGATGTAAACTGTAAATTGAGAAAGCTTGTGCCAGAATAAGCTTGTTCATCATTAAAGTGCCATTACTCTTTGGACAATAATCCTGTTGACTTGTTTTCCACTGACACAACAATCTGCTGTGTTAGGGGTTCATCAGTTACAGATCTTGTGTAAGGAGGAGGTATCCAGTATCCCCTTATGCTAAGCAAAAGCACTGTTAGTGTAAGAGGATGGTTTGCTTGATCTCTGCTGGCCCCACAGAGATTGCATGGGAACTCGATGGATGAAGTGTTTCATTCCACTGGAGCTGAAAAGTATTCTGAGCTTCATTGAGTTTGCTACAACAAATTAACACATCCACCTCTCTGAAAATTCATAGGAAAATGTGGATCCTTCCAACAATGGCTGATGACTCAAAGCCTGCAAGGGTAGTGAATGATCTCTGGGTTTTAGTCTAAACTTTACAGAAGATATCCAAGGTGCTCAATCTATTTGGGGGACACAAGTAAGGTTCAGACAAACATTTGCAATCGAGTGAATTCTCCTGTGAACTCAGAGTTTCCAGCTGCTCCTGGATGCTACACAGAAAAAAATCCACTAAAAGAAGTGATCAAGCATGAGAATTTTCAAAACAAAGTTACAGGGTGATGCTGGTGAATATTTGCCTTAAAGCTTATTGGCTTTTTCCAGCTATATCAGTATCCATACATTCAAAATTCCCTGTAGTTGTGTGCTAAAGAAAACATGGCCTGTATCCTGATTGTATCTTTTTGTACAAGTGATCCTCTAAACTGTAAAGAAAATAAAGCACATCTCAAGGAACTTATGTTAAGTAGCAGGTGGCTTCAGTAGTCACAAGGCTATAGGAAGCCACCTCATTTCAAGTCAGATCATTTGTTTGCACTTCAGTTCTGGTACTGCCAGCTTGAATTTGTTAGCTTTTGATCACCTGCCCCATCCTTTGGACAAGAGATTCCTGGGATTCAGTCTAGCTTTCTGCACACTCTACTGAGCTTTGGATTGTACTGCTTGAGAGGATCCTGGTGCTAGACCCTCTTCTGCTGTTTAAAATAGCATTCTTCTGCTTGGGATTGGCACAACTTCTGAGCACCTTAAGATCCAACAGGACATAATCAATATGGTATGCAACATTTCGATGCGACATATAGTTCATAGCATTCAGATTTACTGGGAGGCTTCAAGGAAGTTATTGACTCTTATTCTACACTGTAGCATACACAATTGTTGTGAGGATCAAAGATAATAACCGTGTTCATCATTTGGAAGGTAATGGCATAGGAGAGAAGAGGTGTGGTAACTTGTATGAAAACAGTATGTGAAGTATAGAATCTGACAGTGAGAAAATATCTTATGTGGTAGTCATCTCACTCCTCAGAATGCAGGCTGGAATCCTTAATTATGATCTTAGACAATGAATAGTTTTTATGACAATACCATGTGAGCTGAAACACTTCAGTCTCAGTCATGAAACTGAGGTAACAACTACAGTATAGGTGAAATAGAATAATCCAGCGAATTTGCCTGTTCTTGTCCTAGTCTCTCTCTCTTTTTAAATCCAGCTCAACACTACAGATTTCTTTTAATCATTCAGCGTTCATGGATAGCCAGTGTAGTATAGTGGTGAACTAAAATGGTCAGAATATAACTGGGGAGACCTAGGTTAAGATCTTGACTGAATGAGCTTGGGCTGTACCTAACCTTCCTCATAGGACTGTTGCAATAATAAAACCAAAGCTCTTTAGGGAAAGATGAAATTGTCATGCATAAACAAATAAAAGCAATCCCATTTCCTCAGAGGTACATTACCCAGGTGCTTTTCTAGCAGTGTAAACGAAGTGGTGAGAGGTGAAATAAGCCTCCACAAACTCATCACATGACGACCCACTTCCATGATCCTGTTTGATTCATGATCCAACTGTAATTGCCAGCAGCATATATGAAACATGTATGATAACAGGATATGCATGCAATAGTGTGGTTAATTGCACAATCCTATTTATGTTTTCTCAGATGTTCCAGTAAGTTCAGGGGAATTGCTGCCAGCTAAGTGTGCATAGAATTGCAACATATGGCACCTAGTTCTGAATATCTGTGAATTTTGTACTGTTAACATTGGTATTTACAATTTGGCCCCAATTTCTTTGCTGTTATTTTTCTTGCCAAGTCCAATGAATCATCATTATCATCATCAGTTGCAGATTTCAGAAATATGTAACATAATCAGAGCTACAAAAAATGGCAATATTAGGAACAGCACATATAGGTTTTTTATTAAAACTTGTATCTGTTATAGAATACCAGTCAACGTTTTTATAATTTTGATTGACTGTGTTTTTGAATGATAATAATGTAATCTTTAAAGGTTATTCTGCCCTGTGGGGGCTTGACTCCACAGAACAGAGCAAAGGAACACCCAACAAAAGGAGAGAAGCTAGTAGATTTTGTAAACCAGAGCTTGCTGATACTCGAGATGTAGTGGCAAGGTTGATAGTAAAGAGTATATAGCGTTGCAAGGCGACTGATCCAAAATTCCAACTAAGATATAAGTACTGTATTCAGATCTTTGATGAAAGTTTATGACCAGTTCTTGTTCATCTCATAAATGAACTAAGTGCAAAATAAGCATGTGTAGTCAATTGACTAGATGGGCGGGGTATAAATGCAATAAATAAATAAATAAATAAATGTGCAATATGTAGGCAGATATAAACTAAAAAGCAGAGCTATTATTCTTACTTTGGGAACTGGATTAGATCTTAGCTCCCTCCAGCCCTATTCAATTTCCCATCCAAAAGTCTCTTCCCCTTCTATCTTTAACAGAGTCGCTTACTGGCAAAAAGTTAAATAAATGATTGAGTTGCTTGCAGACTTGCAGGAGGTCGCATGACAAGGCATAACCTTGCATGGCTATGATTAAATTCCATAGATGATATTTTTTTCTTCATTAAGAAGAAGAACAACAGTCACAGGGCCATCTTTGATGGTCACAAAATAAATGATGTATTTGGAGCTCATCCTGCTGGGGTGGAATTTCAGGCTGTTCACACTTTTAGGATTAGAAACAACCTTTCACCTTTACTCAGCCATCTTCCTGCCCCCCCATCAAAATTTTAAACCTGAACCAGACACCTCTTGCACTGATACAAACATTATGTGTCCTGCTGGCCAACACCAACAGATCCTTGAGCACAAAAGCTTTTAACTCTTTTGTGCTTTGCTACCGTAAGAAGATGAGGTGAGATGAGATGAGGTCTCTTACCCGGTTACAATTTCAAAGGGTGGCAGATCTTCCAGCTTGACCTTTTCAACCTCTTCTGCATTTTCTGCATTTTCTGCCTCTGCATTTTCTGCTTTTTCACCATTCTGGGCAGCTTCAGGCTGCTCCTGCTTCTCAGCCATCCTGCTGCAATGGGGGACCAGAGAGCACAGCAGTAGCTAAGAGCCTTGCTCAGCCTTCAGAAGCAGATATGCGACCAGCGGCTGGGGTGGGGGGGGGAGTTGGACTTTCCAGTTGTCAGGAGCTATATATGGATTTGGAGCAACAGCCAGGATAGGAGCAGGCTAGGATGACCCTAGCACTCTCGGGTGTCGCCTCTCCTTCACTTTCACTCTGGCTCTAGTCTCTCTCCCTCTCTCCCACCCCCTTTTATTTCAAAAATGAAGTGAGTCCAGAGGCAGCAGATTAGGTAATGGATGGAAAATCCAGAATACAGAAGGAATCTATTTATCCACTGCCATGACAGAAACCTGGCTCTGGGCAGGAGAACTGGCCACTGTGTTACATTCCTAGATTTGCCAATGTGTCCTCCTCCTGCCCTTGAGGGACCACCCTTCCAAAGCAGACAAGGAGAGGCAGGTGCAATGCCACTACCTTTTGGAAAAAATAACTTCAGTTATCGTGAGGTGGAGCTGAGCCCGAAGTTGAGGGGAGGCATCCGCTAAAACATCCTTTGTGTTGTTGAGCTGAGAACTACATCTTTAAAAGGCTTCTTTCTGAATTGAATGAATAGACTGAAAAGTCAACAGCCAACATTTTTGTAGCATCAACAACACACTGACTATTTTTTTAGGTGTGATGCTTCACCAGCATCTGAAACTCCATAGATGTAAGCCATTTCTCTGGCTTTTGTGTACATAGTAATAAACCCGTTGGGCAGGATCTATCTCTTGCTGAAGATTTCAGCAGTGCCCCAAATGTGTTTACTTACCTTAAAATTCTTACTTGTTACATTTTCCTCTAAGGAGCTTGGATCGGTATACATTATGTGGCTGCCCTCCTTGGTAATTTAGTCTCACAGCTCTGTGAGATGTTCATTGCTGAGAGTAAGAGCGGCTGACCCTAGGTCTCCCAGTTAGTTTCATGTCTCACTGGCGACTTGAACCTGCATGTTCAAAGAAGACTCTAACCTTATACTTTACAGCCTCTCATTGTAATTGCAATGTGATATTAGTTGATAAGAAATATGTCATCAGCAAAGCTTTTCTCTTTTGCAGGCAGATCTGCTCTTCCTGGTTCTTTAGAGTCCATCTGGCTGTAAACATTTTGCCTCATTGGGCATTACCGTCAAGAGATCTGGATTGCTGACTCCTATGGCAAAACTGGAAATACTAAGAATAAATAAACTGAATGGGCAGATTTGCTTCGGAAGATAGAAATCAGGCTCCTTACTAACCAGAGTAGAAGTCTGCTTTAGAGAGGACTGGGTGTGCAGTGGGATGTGCAGCAGATTTGGAACAAGTAAAAAACTTGATGACTTCTTGAAGTACTCCAGTGAGAAGGGAAAGGAAGGTCTGAGGACTACTGATCTTGCCTATTGGAATTTAGGACAGTATGACCGCATTCTGAGCAGAACGGAGAGAGCACGAAGATAGGCTCCATATTTTTACAAGCACATGTGGGGCGTGTACATTGCACGACACTGAGTTATCCAAAACTTCCTGAGAGTGGTGAGTGGAATGGCATTCATACAGGATTTAGACTATAAAGGTTTTTTTAATCCACCAGTCATGACCATAACTATATTAATAACAGAAGGCAATACATGAGGTATGTACACCTGGACTTTTATGCTTTTTGTTCCCTTGATTATCATCTTTCTCTTTACCTTCCCTGTTCTTCTTTCCTCTTGTATTTGCTCTTAGAACCTGTGATTCCAAAATCTTTCTGCACTCTCCAATATTTTATAAATGCAGAAGTGCTATTTAACAGAATGTGCAGAGAAACGGTGCAGCGGCCATTCATAATTCTGGACATGATGTCATATTTCATGTAAGAAGGAGTCCAGTGGCACTTCTGGAGCAGAAGGATAAGCCGAGAGCGGCTGGCATTGCCCAGGGGATGCCCAAATGTGCTCACCTTCTTCAGAGAGGTTCTTTCTGGACACATGATATATGTTTGCACTTTGCAGTTTGTACTTCACATTTTTTGGGTGCACTAATTAAAAAATACAGTGTGAAAAGTGCTCCAAGCGAGTGAGTTTACACAACAGAGGAAAAAAAGTTGTTTCAGCTCATGCCAGATGGGGCACCCTGTTTTTAGCTGAACCCCTGACATTGCAGGCCCCTGCCCCAAAGTTCTGCTAAGGTTTCAAGAACCTTCCTGAAGAGTGCGGTATATGGTGCAGAGAATGACACACACGTCTTATGGGAACAAAAAGTGGTTCCTGCTAAAGCAAACCTGAAGTGTTAAGTTATGATGTTTGAAAAGGCTGTCCCATTGGCTTTTAGAGCTGCTATAGAGACACTGTCAGCTCCTTTCCCTATCTAAATAAGATACCTTTACCTTCACTTAATTTATTTTCCTTGTTCAAAATAAAATCCTTTACATACAAGCTCCAAGGTCCTTCAATAAGGTGTTGCACGTGCATTAGTGCAAGTGTGGCATTAATACTCACTGCTGTGGCCTAATGAGTGTATGTTACGCATTGATAAGCTGCAGCAGCTGCTGCTACTGCTGGGGTGGGTTTTATTGTACAAATCAGACTGTGACAACAATTACTATAGAGTGTCCTATCTATCACGTCTCATCTTAGGCAGAGAGGGATTCTTCCAATGGTATGGAATATTTTCCTTAGAAAGTATATTGTTTCCCCCCCTCCCAGTGGTAACTATGTTTGTGTGCCAGAACCCCAGACCAATAACTAACTCCTTTGACATTTTAGGGAACAATTGTGAGGCTGGGAATCCTGAGCTGATGAGTGATTGCTCTTCTCCACCCCCTTCTCGTGTCCCTCTGACCCATTTTATTTTTGGAGGCTCTTGACTGCTGGATTAATCAGGGTCCCATCATTCTTGCTGTTTTAGCTTTCACTGGAGCCAGCTGAGCCGTGCAGATCAATGCTGAGCTTTAATCTAATCTCTGGAATGCAATGCCGGGATTGTGCGTCTCTCTCTCTCTCTCTCTCTCTCTCTCTCTCTTTCCCAGCAGCTGATGAACTCCTTCTAGGGCTGTGCCATGCCTGTTGTACAGACAGACCACTGCAGGCTAAGTGTAGTAGACCTGCAAGAGAGATTGTGCAGAGAATATATAGTAATGCTATACTATAGAAGCTAGTGTAGCACAGAAAGGCTAATATGTGTGTGAAAGGGGGAAAAATAAAATAATTGATAGGAAAATCTGGTGGGTTTTTTTTTTGCACTTATTAAAAAAACTCAAGGTTTTTTTTCCCTGTTTTGAATATGAAGAATTTTGTAAATGCTTTAGAAACAACCTGAGCAAAATTCTCCTCCACTTGAATTGGCTGCACTCAGTAGGTACAGTAGTTCTTAACAAGGAAAAGATGACTTGATTTCTGCCATACGCATGTGAAAGATGAAACCCTGATGCAACACTAATAAGGCTGAATATAAAGGGGTTCAAATCCATACTTTCAAGAGTGATGCACTCAAACCCTGGACCTAGATGGACAAAACTGCATCTCCGTATCTCTCACATTCAGTTTTTATAATCCCAACCTTTTTCCAACTCAAACATAAAGGTGCAAATCTCTTCAAAAAGTGATTGAAACAAAATTTTTGCCTATCCTTAGTATCTGTACATAGAGATACACATGCTTCAATAACAAAATGAAATTATTGTGAAACACAAGGTGCCTATCCAGAATCTTGATCTTTCAGTATAAAAACAGCCCATCTGATGGGTTTGAAATATGTAAGATTTGTCCCGGTTTCAACAGAAGACTGGTCTGTTGACATATTTCAAATCACATTGTTCTCCAGGAAGAATCAGTTTTGAAAATGTGAGGACAAATTACAAGAAGCATCCTAAGGAGAAAGTCGATCATTCTCTTATAGACCAGAATATATCTATAGAAGGGTTGCAGGTCAACAGTAGGGTTCATGCTTTGCATGCAGAAGATGTCAAGTTCAATCATTTCCAGAAGGGGCTGCAAAGACTCCTACCTGAAATGCTGACCTTGCACAGTTAGTAGAGAGCTATGGTTCCAACCATGGGTCTCTAGATGTTGTATTCGCGAAGGCTTTCACAGCCGGGATCTAATGGTTGTTGTGGGTTTTCTGGGCTCTTTGGCCGTGTTCTGAAGGTTGTTCTTCCTAACGTTTCGCCAGTCTCTGTGGCAGGCATCTTCAGAGGACAGAGTGCTGACCACAGCCAAAGAGCCCGAAAAACCCACAACAACCATCTCTAGATGTTCTTGGACTACAATTCCCAGAAATCCTGGCAGTATATGTGAAGGTTTCTAGGAGTTTTAGTCCAAAAACATCTGAGGACCCAAGGTTCGGAACCACTGGTATGAGGAATCCTTTGCCAGAAGGATCAATAGTTTGTCTCCATTAAGACAATGTCCTAGGAATTTCTAGGAATTCATTGGAAATTGCTTTCAGGAGTAAATGAAATAAATGGGCCCAGAGGAAGACAGGAGTGTAGGGCAAATTTCACTACATATGTATGTTTATTTAGTACAAAGTGGAAATCAGACCGGGGAGAGCGGAGGGTTAACGAGGTTGGAGTCTCCGACTCCAAAAGGGGGGGAGGGATTAGTTTAGCAGAAGGATTTTTTTCCCTTTGGGTTTTTCCTTTTTTCCCTGTTCTTTTCTTCTTTCTTGCTCTGTTTTTGTTTTTTGTATGTTGATACTTTAGTTGAATTTAAATAAATAAATAAATAAATAAATAGTAAATGAAATGAAAACAATAGCTTACTCTTACACCTAAATTTTTCCCACATATACAAAGATTTCGATGATGAACTTCAGATCATCAGTCTCCTGTATATGCAGTAATAGAATTGTAACTTAGAATGTACTTTGAAATGTGTGGGAGGACCAATGTTCTATTAGAGGGAGAAATCTTACACACTATAAGTATTCTTCCTTATAATTTCTTGAGAGAGATTGCTGTATTTAAAATTAATAATTGTCTTGGTTTTCTGTAATATTTATGTGGCCCTCTAGTCCTTTCATTTTGTCATTTTGAAGAATGTTTACAAAATAATTGATATAATTTTATAACACCCATTGTCTTATACTTTATGCATATATCTATTATCAACTAGTAATTCCTTAATAACTACAAATAATCACACTGTAATAAGTCAGATAAATCAAATGATGGCCAGACAGCTTTGCTCTAAGGATTACTCATTAAAAAACCCCAAAAACAGTTGAGC